CGACTTGTCTAAACACGATCTCGTATGACATTTCTTCAAGTTCATACGATTATCGTACAAATCGGTTCGAATCGTTTTGAGTGCGAGAATCGCCATTCGAGTTCAGTGATTACTGCGGTATTGACTATGGACATATCGAAAAGACGCAAGAATCATTCAAATTTAGAACGGCTGATAATATTAATTTCATTGCATTGTAGAGAAATATACATTTTTTTATTTTTTTCAAATTTTATAACATTTCTTAATCATTTAAAAGTGTTATTTTATGCACTAGTTGTATAGTATTTCATTTATATTTAAATTAATCGTAAATATAAAATACAAAAGCAATCAAAATAATCAAATAGCTAACCGTCTCTTTCCGACTCATAGCTTGCGTAAAAGACTGAACAAGACCCATCACGTCAATTTCAATTGTTTGAAACACAAGCGTTTGAAATATTTAGAACAAAAAAAATAAAAGTCGCTTTGATGCTAATGTTATGCTGTTATGATGCTAAAATATTTTTTAATACATGTTAGTAATACTTTCAAATATTGTTGTACTCTTTCTACGGCTCGGGGTTACCAATCAGAAGACCGAAAATACATTTGCCCGAAATAACTTTTGCATGAATTTCCATAATCCCGAAAGTATTTTTTTAGGTTTTTCGGGAGAAATATGTGTATCGTGAGTTTGGGTGTAATTTGTGGTTGTCTATATGTGTGTCCATGGTACCCGCGACACAGGGTTTCCCTAATGCGGGGCAATGTGGAGTGTGTGCGTTATTATAATTATTATTATTAATTAGTACCTAAGTGTTTATTTTGGAAAGCGTTTCTCTTGCGCAATCAATATCGCACATTTTAATTTTGTAATTATCTCACAACGGCAAATACCCTACTACCGTCATAGCCGTACTTTTTCATGCACAAGAAACATTTGCAAGAACTATGAGCAGTACGACTATGCCTGTTGACGAAATCAACCGTCGTCAGTGATAAACCGTAATAATTGTAGTGAAGCAATGTAAGCACTACGGCATATAGAAAATTGTATATCAACCCGAATCTTGTTATGTAACCGAATATATTACCCCTTAAATGAATTTGTGACTTTGTGAAGACGACTATCAAGAACGGCTAGTTTATTTTTAATTCCTCGTTTTAATGTTATGTCTGTCACTATTTTTCATAAAGAAATTTCTATTCTTCTTAACATAAATTACACAGATATACAAACTGTCCAATTTTGTAACTATAAATTTGAATGCTATGTAAATGACATGCAATTTTCGAAAAGAAATTCGACGCTTTCTTAAAGTATGTCACATGCAGCACCGTCAAAACCGAATCGCTAGAGAGCACAGTAAGTACCAACTCTTTAAAGAGTTTAATGATAAATTGTGGCTCATATTGGATATGAAAGTATTACGTAAAAACATATTAATGACAATAATAAGAAACAATTCCTCGCGAACAAAGCAGCTTTAGCAGTAGAAATCTTCATTAAAACTATGATGCTGCTATATTTTTGCTATGCTATATTTTCCAAACAAATCATTGCTTATCGAGTTCTTAGGTTTTCGCGATTGTTACACATAGGAAAAAAAAACTATTTTTCCGGATTTAAATCGCGTATATTCGTTTTTTCAAACAAACTGACGTTTCGGGCCCTTTACAGGTCCCATGGTCGACCGTGACCAATAGACCGGAAAAATAGTTTCATTTCCTAAATCATTGCTTTTTTAAGTTCTCACAGGTGGCGCTGCGGCAAATAAGCCGTTTAAACCTAATAAAAATAAATATCCGCAACAAGTACATAGAGAAATTTGTAAGGTCTACTGCCTCGATCCATAATTTAGTTGGCAGAGAGGTAGCCACGGTGAGGAAACAGTCGGTCGAAGAAATATCAGTACTGTTAACACTATAATAAAAGATTTGCGTACGGAACAGCTGTACTTACCTTGTCTAAGTTATGTACACTCATATGCATTTCCAAATACTCGCTAGAGTGAAATTTCTTATTACAAATATCGCAGTTAAAATTATTCGTCATCTTATGCGACTTCTGGTGAATGTCTCTGTAGTCTATGGGTATCACTTTACTGCATACCGAACATATGAACTTGTCTTTGCTCACTTCGCTGCCGTCTGCTGTTTCTACTGGTGGTTCTATAGGACGAACTCTGTAAAGGAAATAAACTATTAAACACCATAAGTTAGCAGAGCTGTGTTACAACCAACCAGTATTTCTTTACATTGATTTAAACTTTCACGACTTCCACACGTTATTATAAGGGACGTCCCTTCGGTACCATGGACGTTGAAATACGTCCGAAACGTCGAGGTAAATAAAATATGTTTTAATACACGATTAAGTCCCGAATTTAAAATCAAATAACAGTATTTTTTTTATGACATCTCCACGCAGCGCGCCGTTTAGTCCAAATTAAATACTAAAAAACATAGTCCAGTTTTAGTCAGCGTCAGTAGATGGTTTTTAATGACAAGTTACTGTAGGCCTGAAATGGTGGTGTTAGTTAATTTTTTGTACATCAAGATGACACGAATCGTGTGTAAAACAAATTAGTTCTTTAAAATTCCGCAACATGGTGCAATGTCGACATTTAATGGAAAGCTTTATCAACTTACGCGGCATAGTTACTATTGTTTAAATTTTTACGTTTTATTTTTAATTTTGTTCATGTCTACTACAACTTAGATCAACTACGTCGTATCTCGGTGTTTGTGATAGCTCCAGCATTATATAAATATAATATTCATTACGAGGATCGTTTATTTACAACATATTAACAAAAATACTTAACCAGTCGCGGTCATCTTTGTATTAAATTCATGCAAGGCAAAATTTCTTTAATTTTTATACTTACTTAGTAGGGTCGTGCATCCGTTTATGCAGTTTCAAAGACTTATTGGTCGGAAATATTGTGTTGCAAACTTCACATTCGAATATCGGCGGCGTCCCAGTCGTCGCTATGGTAAAAACATACACATGGTAAGGTATCATTAAGTATATATCCACTTGTGGACTCTAGTCCTTACGTGTAAAGACCACTAAAGAGAAGGGGACTTCCACACGGTATAGTGAGAAACGTTAATAGAAAAGCAAGAGATAAAGGCTATCCATTGTCAGCAATCATCGTGTCTGAATAGACATTTGTCAAGAGTATGGAAGTCAGAATACTTTGTAAAAAATGTGCATAGAAGCAGCACAAGTGCACCTTTAGCTGAATTGAGCTAAATATTTAGTGCTCTGGATAATGATTCTGTGTTCGAAATGTAGAATTTGTGCATGCACGCGATTTTACTGTGATGTTTACAAAAAATACTAAAAGCAGTGTCTACAGTAGGAAGAATTTAAACGGCAGGGTTTTAAATGTAAATTTAAAATTCGAGTTTATGTGTTCATTTATTACAGTTTCCGAAGAGTCCTAGGGAGGCGGTAGGGGCTTCGGAAGCAATTGGGGGCGTTTATGCTGTCAGGACCCCTTTTGACATTTGAAAAAAAAAAAACCTAAACTATCTATCTAAACTACACTACATTATACATGCATTCTTTTTCTAGTGATATATTAAAAAACACGTGTTTTCAATTATTTTTATTTGTGGTGGTAGAGAGCCAAAAAGTTTGGGAACTGTGATTAAGTACTATGAAAGCGCAAGGAAAAAAGGTGTCAATCAATTTAATAATAGTTACTGTTTACCTGCACCAGTCTTTGTTTTATGAACTTTCATGTGGGCGCACAGCGACTTAGAATTCTCGTAGCTAACTGGGCAGTGTGGACATGAATATTTTGCTGCAAAAAAAACCCTAATTATTGCCGAGGACTTATTAACTCTCTCAACCGTACCTAATAACTTGGCATCAGAGCACACCGAGAGAGGCCGCGACTAGTGGTATCATCATTGGTCATGAATGGAAATGTCTTTATTGACTTTCACAAAAGAAACTTATACTTATATATGCCTATGGCCCTCACATGTTCTTGAATTTATTTTCGTTTGTGAAAGTCTGGTGTCTATACTAGGATTAACCTATGTTATAGAGCACCGTCATAACTAATAACATTACAAAATATACTTATTATAATGAGAATAGCGAGAGCTCAGAATTTCACATGTAGCGGCATGCCGTTCGCATAGAAACCACAAATTCTTCAGTAAACATACAAATACCACTACTTATGCGATTCCGAGTTCTCGCTAATATCACTGTACTAGTAACCAAAAATTTTACTGGGTGTTGTTACCCAATTGGCGGCAATGGAATGGTAACAAATACATGTTGAAAAAGATCAGTGACTTTTCTCAATACTTCACAGGAATTAAAATTAAATTATAGACAATTAAAACAACTTACGAGTTTTACATGGATGCAATTTGAACTGCTCCAATGCAGACACATAAATATTGCATGACATACAATGAAACACTTTCACTTTTTCACCAGGCGCTGTAGTCGATTCAATTTCTTTTATCACAACCTTATGGTATGGCCCATTTTTCTCTGAAAACGATAATTCGAATACATAGTTATTTACTAAACAGTTTTATTTCTTATATTTACTTCCATTAAATACATGTATGACTTATGTTTGCTTTTATAAGTTTGTGTTAATTGAAATCAGTTTTCGCCAGAGTTCGCGTTAAACTGCTTTTTATAAATTTATTGTCGTAGTCGTCGAATGTATTAGACATTAATGAAATTAAAAACCAGTTTAATATATTTATTTTAGTTATTATTATATCCTAAATAGCCTCATGAATATGATCGCAGATACAAAAAGGAACGTTTTCATAAATCTCTGTTTGAAGTCCAAACTCACCATCGGGCTGTTTTATATTTTTAACAACACTATCACAAAATTTGTCGATTTGAACATATCGCCTTGTGTATATCCGCCCCGCTTTATCCATTACCTCTTCTTTTAGTTGTGGCTGAATTTTGTTCATTTGATCTGGAGCTAGATTTGGAGTAAAAGAATACTTTAAATTTGGCATTTTATCAACTTTGCTGTTCTCTGGACTGTGCATAGGTAGTCCATGACCACAAGAGACATTGTTACTTCAAAAATTTGCTGAATTTACTAATAAAACATGAATTATAATTGAATAAGTTTCCAATCCAACATTTAAACAAAAATTTAAATAAAATTTAATTATCATACATACAACACTGCCAAAACAGCATCTGGTCGATACAGATACATTTTTGTTCCAGAGCTAAGAAGTCAGAAAATAAAGTTTATTTACCAACATTATTGAAAAAAGTAGCTGCTAGTGATGTGGTCGTTGTGGCTGAGTTCTGGGCCGCTATAGTATAATGTATGTCATCGATACGGTAAGAAGATTGAAAAAAGTCTTAAGTGAAAAATATGTAAAGTAAAAAAATATATTTAACCAATAAGAGACCTATTCCAATCGTAGCAGTCTTCAGAAGTATAGGAGCCTCAATAATATCTCCAGTCTCTGTAATCATGCGTCGTGACATCTGCTTGTCTACCATAGTGGAATCTTCTGATGGTATTGAGGATTCGTAGGCGACAGGATTAGCTTCTGTGTTATCCATATCGTCCATGGGTTCCTGAGTAAAGTATGTACCAATCTATTAATTTAGCTCAGGCCACAGACGCGGTATAGCGGGAAAAGCGGTCCGGGCGTGGACCTGCAACCACATTTCATTTTCTAGTGTTCAAGAAAATATTCTGCTTTTATTCGCGTCACGGAAGCAACGCAAATGAAATTTTGGCTGAATTCATACCAAAACTTAATAAAAACACACTCAAGAGCTGTAAAAAAATACAACGTGCAATCCCGCTAAAGCCCTGCTCCCGGACCGCGCCCCGCTGTTGCCGCTCTGTGTAGATGGTTGCATAGGACTCAAAGGAATACAGCTTTGCGCCCGTATCTGCCCTGGGCTCGGCCCGCCCCGTCTCGCCACTCGGTTTCAATGTGGTAGCGTGCATAAGAACTCGAACATTACAAAAATTCCTGGCCACGGAAAGCTCTCGCTACCGCCTGTCTGACCAGAGCATTCTAGGAACAAATTAAGTTAATGACTAAGTAAAATATTTAAATCAATTAACTAGCCATTAATTTGATTCGAATATGAATCAGTAACAAATTGAAAGATTTCGTTTAGCGCTATCAAATTATACAATGCCAATTTATAATTACGTATCATGTTTGTGAGCATGTTAAATGTGCTGTTTTCTTCGTACTGGTACCTCTTTAGGTAGGTTCTGCCTCTTTAGACAGATGTACAAAAGTTTATAGTATAATGTGAAACCAATATTAGAAGACAAATATGGAATAGCATAGCACGTACCATATACATACCATGATACATAAATGTACAGAGTCAAGAGCACATCCAGCTTGACACTTAAGATTTAAATCCAATTCTATGCCGCTTACGATAAACACGGTCCAAAGTACAAAGTGTGAAGCTTAACATGCTCTTGACTGTACATGCTATATTTATTTTTTGTCTTTCGTATCAAGTAAGCGGGTTGGTATCTGCCACTTGACATATCTTGTCATTTTGCATGGTGTAGAATATAGATATTATCAAGATGGTCTACCTCAACTACAACGTCCTGGTCATTATGGAAGTTTTGTATATGCTCTAACACTGATGTGAATGAGACACCGCAAGTATTGCAGCTATATATCTCTTCTTGATTTTCTTCAGGCTCATTTGCTTGCGTTATTACAGTTTCTGACTCCATTTTCATATCTGTAATATTAATACGAGTACTGTTATGTATCATTTGGATCTATTTATTCTTCAGTTTGGAATGGCTGTATTGCCAACAATTATGCAACAGAAATAATGTAATTGTAGGGCCAGATCAATTGCATGACTTAGGTCTTATTGCATTCTCATATTACTAACTTTTCTATATTCTCTTGGGTCTGGGTGTTTGTGGTACCATCATTGTTTCGGATTTCCATAACACAAGTGCCTTAGTTAATTACTTTACAACCAGAGCAATGTATGTGACGTTGTCGAATATTTATTTATATGTATATTTTAACAAATATCAGTTAATCTAGTTGGATAAATCTATTTCGTACACTACTAACAATATACCTTTTACAGTAGTTAATGATATGGTGCCATCATTATTCTGTTTTGTGACAACAGTACTGCCAGCATCCAACTCTGCATCATCACTTGTCATTATTAAGTACCGACTGACACCATGTTCTTTGACCAGCTTGAGCTCTTGTGTTTGTATGCACGGTTTCATCAATTGCTTACTTAATACTTCTACGTACATCTTGCCAGCTCCATCTTCTGTGATTTCTTTAAAATTGGATGGAAAGGGATCTGAGGTATCTTGTTTAATTTGATTTGAAACTGAAATGTGAATATAAGTTTATGTTTACCTATTATATATATAACTTTAAGTATAATACAAAGAGGATAATACTTCCCACTGAAATTCCTGAATGATTAAGGCTAAAAATCTGAACAAAACATTTACATTTTTACTTACAATTGGACATAGTTATAATAAAATGATCCAAATCACACTTAGGGCGAAAATGAGTTAAGTATACCACGTGATTCACCGTAGTCTATTCTTTCATGCCAGAACGACTCGTGTCGATATCTCTAATATTGGCGAAATTATAACTATGTAGCATTTTGAAAAAAACGCAGTTTTCCCAGAAATATTTTTAAACGATCCAGGTGCCCTGGACTCTCATTCAACAACACATGACATGATCTACTGGAGTATGAATCGTTCTTAAAAAACGCTAAACTATTAAATATGATGACCAGTAAGATTCAAATAAACTTGAATCATTTTGTTTTGTTTGTTTTTTTGTTTGTTTTTAACAAAAATGCACCAAAGTAACTTAAATAGTGTTGGCTTTTTAAGATCTTGAAATAATAGGATCCAAAGTAACTTGGATTGTTTTGATTATTTTTTTAATAGGGACAGAATGTTCCACTTACGTTTAACATAATTACTTGGATCATATTGGCTATTTTTTACAGCAAAGTCAAACTGTCCATTCGAGTTTGGATTATTCTTACTAAACGTTGGTTACTTAAAAAATGTAGGACTTCAAAATTGTCTTTCAAATTTTAAGTGACTTTTAAAAACAAATTGACTTCTAAATGTTCATAGAATGGCCCGACATCATTAGGTATTAAATTTAACATAGACCAGCTCCCGTTGCATGCTTCTGCGATGAAGCTGTTTGTTCGAGTAATAAAACCGCCACTTTGAAATTTTATCACAATAATGAACGTGTCAAGCACATGTTTTCTTTACTCATGAGCCGCGTCTGCCGCCATCAATGGCCGCGAAAGTATATCGGAACGCCAAACATGGCCTGGCAAGATGACATCTGAGTTTAAAACATTTTGACAGCTCTGCACGGTAATTTTATCAACGTGAAATTTGAGCGTCACAAACGAAATAAATAGAAATAATAAACAAAAACAGGTTGTTACATATTAACTATTGGAAAAAGGTGAGGGGAAATCGACTGTGATAAACATGTGGCGGGGAGGTTTATCATTATCGCATGCGATATAGCGCCATGCATGTCATTGAGCTTACCCTCATTTATCATGAGCATGGCCATAGTGGCGTTAAACTATTCATTGTTATGTTAATATGAGTAATCTGTGATATGAGGAACGACCACTCCCTCTCGCCGTTTTCTGTATGCTAGTAACCTAGTACTTAATAATAATAGCTAGTACCTAATAATTTTCCTCAAAATTTGTTAGCATGTAAATCAAATATTTTTCATCTTTTTTCAGGAAAATTTCTTTTGTAGCAAGACAATTTACTTTTTCTTATTTTTGAACACTTGTCGAATAATTATACCCTTTTTCTATGTGCACAGATCCCAAGAACCTATTTGATTTCATTCGCATTACTTTTAATGGATTTGCATGTAATTTCATACATTCTTACAACATCTTTATAATATCTATATATTCTTCGATTCTGTAAAGACGTAGCACGTGTTTCAAGGCATATTAAATTTTTCAAAAATCTGTATCATTGGGCAAAAATTTATTCCCAGGTTCCACACAGCGACAGCGAATCTTTTTTTAAAGTCGGATGGGTCCTCAGAGCCACTTTTAGCATCAATACCAAATTAATGTTCCTATTTTGACCTCGGGAATCACTCCATAAAGAAGCACAGGAAGTTGGCTTGTGTCTATTGTGGCATATAAATAACGAATTGGCGATCTTATACTATGGAGTGATTCACGAGGAGGTCAAAATAGGAACATTAAATTGGTATTGTTGCTAAAAGTGGCTCTGGACACCGACCTTAAAAACGTTTTGCTGTCACTATTTGGAACATGGGCATACATTTTGGCCCAATGATACAGATTTTTGATAAATTTAAGAAGCCTTGAACACATCTGACGTCTTTACATAATCGAAGAATTATGGATATTATGAAGATGTGTACAAAAGCAAACCCATTAAAAGTAATGTGAATGAGTTCAGAGTTATTGGGAACTGTAGGTACAAATAGAAAGGGTATAATGAATCGAAAAGCGTTCGAAAATAACGATTCTGGTTGATGTGGCTGAAATTGTATTAATAATTAAACAATATCTTATCATTAAAACCAAATGTATAAAGTGTAGAACAAGAATTTTAAAAATGTCGAAAAAACATTACTTGCGGTGGCGAATGTCGGAAAATCTCTTGAAACTAGGATAAATAAATAAGTTAAGTTTTTTTAACAAAATAATTCTTGAAGCAACTAGTCTTCGATTTAGTGAGGAAAAAATAATTTTTAAATATGTTTTAAAATTTAATGCATCCGAATAATGTCAAGAAATTACATTTTTGCGAAAAACCTGGGTTAAGTATTCAATTTTTATTGCTGTAGAAAATGATAAAGTTATGTTGGAATGTAGTGTTATTATAGTTCAAAACATAGAACAATTAACAGAGATTTCTTAAAATTCTTAAAAATGCAATTATATTCATTTAATTACAATAAAACAATTAATATATACACTTTTTGCACATTTTGGATAATTTTTGCAAAATGAAAAATAATTGCAAAAGTTTTTTTGCCATACAAAATTAAAATTATTCAAATCCTATTTAAAAAAAAAAATTACATTAATCATTAATTTATGAAAAGTTTGGTAATTGATGTGAAACTATAAAGTGAAAACTTTAATTTGACGAAAAAAAATGAAGATCGGTTGAGAATTCAGCAGTTAAAATTTTAAACTTTCGAAAACTTTAACTTCTATTTTCTCGAAAATTACCAATTGTGACTTGGATCTTTTATTATAACTACATCCAATTACAAAACTTTTTCCTAAATACACTACTGCAGCAAAACAATTGGTACTAAACATTGACTTACAATTATATGGACGTCGGGTCCGCGCTAAAAAGTGTCCGCACTTGTAAGGCGCTAAAATCGTATACAGATCGCCAAACTCCGCTTTAGTCTTCATTTGTTCGATTCACAGTGCGATACTGCGATGACATTACAATTTAAATTTAAAATAGGTTGACTTGGGACATTTTTTTCGTGGTTTTTGTATTAGACCCGTCATCCATATATTTGTAAGTCAATGGTACTAAAACATTAAAAATATAGAACAAAATGTAATAAGATAGTTCTGGCATTTCAGACAGAGGTATTACCCTCTCAATATGTATTACTTTCTTGAAGTTTAAGTTCACAGTAAACTATGCAATCTAGTAAGAATATCCAAAGGATTTTATGTGTTTTACCTAGTTGTGCAGTTAGTGTGTTGTTCAGAAATAAGGATGGTAAAAATTTTCATTTTTGGTTTGAACTTTTAAGAAAAATATAACAATGGCAGTGCAATTGAATTGTTATGAAAAATTCTGCCTTGTAGAGGTTTGGCTTCGAGCTATCAAACTTGAAGAATTGGCAACTTACCGATTTCATGCTGTTCTGTAGGGACATCAACATTGCTTACACTTTCTATGTTCGAAATATCGAATGTTATTGTTTCAAGTTCATCATCTGGCCGGCAGTTATCAAGAGTTAAATGTTCAATAAGGTGCCCTAGAGATGACCATTTATTGTTACATATAGGACAAATGACATTGTCTAAAATACTTGCTAAATGCTCAATAAGTTCAGGTTTCGTAGCAAAGCTTTTAGTACAACAACCCGGACATTTCAAATCAACGTCTCCCATTTTGAATTGCTTGCATTCCTAAAGGTTTTTTGGTATTTGATCAAGGAAGACTCATCCACATTGCAGAATCATTTTGTAAACTTAACAGTTTAGCGCTACTTCCTTGTGCTAAATTCAGTTCGTATCTAAATTCTCACCACCACACCATTTTTGCTATTCGGGTTTGTTATGAAGAACTTCACACTATTTTCCTAGCAATAACGTGAAGAAAGCACAAAACGTGCATCGAGCGAAAAATCAAAATGTCAGCTTGTCAAAATTTCGATGTCAAAATAAAGATAGCTAGCTGTTCCTAAAGCTAGCTACGAAACATTCCGTTTATACATTCCATTCCATAATATTGAAGTATGAACTGATATAATCTACTAAAACTCATATGTCAATTAACTCGATAACAATAATATTGCTAAAATCTGTTTACAATAACAATTTCCAAATATTTCAAATTATTAATTAAATGAAGAAAAGAGCTATAAATATGAATTAGGATTCGTAAACGCAAACAAATGTCGCTTAACGCTCATTTAAAGCGGGTCGTCTGCCATATCGGCAGACTACCTCGCTTGTCTGACAGGCGACGCAGTCGACTCACCATTTACGACGAGCCGTCAGGAAGTAGTCTGTCGACTCAGCAGACTACTTCACTGTAATTGCAGCTCATTACTGCCAATGTCAATTTTACCAATTCCCCAAAAATCAACATCAAATTATTTTCTTTATCTCTTTGCATCGAGTATATTAATTATGTACTCTATTTAGTAGTATGTCTGGCACATAAAACAATAACACAATTTTAGGTAGAAAAAAATCCAGTCCCGAAAAGTTTAATGTCCCGAAAACTTGAAAAATTACTATTTCGGAAACTGTGCGGAGTTTGCGAAATTAGTCTTTATGTGCAGCTAGGTTTTAATTCAAAGTTGCAAATCTAAGTAACATATTATAAAAAAGTCAGAAAAAATAAAGTAAAAAATATCTAAATGGCGAATTACTTGCCGCCTATGTGCCAGCGCGAAAAAACGTTTGTAATATGCCTACTTACAAGTAAGGCTTTTCAAAAAACAATTTAACGAATTACTTAGCTACAACTATTTGGTCATAGACGACTCACTATTTACACCGCGTTGGTTGCCGCCTTCGCCTGGCAAGCGACTACGGCTGACAACTCAGTGTAAATGAGCCCTTAAGGTTTTTTTTTAGAGAGGTAGGAGTAGGAGTAGTATATTTATCTCAAAAGTGGCAACATTATAAACATTATAAACATCGCCATTTTGTGGTACAATCTGTCACGATTTGTGTTCTTTGATGTTTTCTCTTTAATTGCATGTTTGATTTGTAATTATTTGCATTTCATCTTCGATTTTATTGTACGTTATGAAGTCTAGTGGAAGTCTATATGTGGAAAATATTTCAACCAAACGATAATCTCTTGGTGACGTTTGCAACTATATCTATGTTTATACATACATTACGAAAACTATTTCGCGGGAGAATTTAAGTGAAGGAAGATGTTAGGCAAGCGAATGCATCACAATAGCAAAGGCCGTTTAGCCAGCAAAAGCCATGACAACGGTAAACCGTCGAGTCCAGGAGTAACACCGCATTCGAAACCAGCGAAGATTCCTGGCGCTTCTGGTGGTAAAACAAAGGTAGAAATGTGTCCTATTCCTTATATGAAATCTCAGGATAATGCTGCAAACCTACCACGATTTACAGCCATTGCAGCAAGGTCTGCTGATGAGCCAATTGGTATGGATGAATTAGATGCCCTGCAACTAGAACTTGAATCATTACTAAGTACTACAGCACTCCGAATAAGGTTTTTCCAATCTGAAATTGAGAGCATTGACACGAATGAGTCAAAGAGAGAGAAAAAAGGCAAAGCAGCTGGCAAACAACTGCAATATCCTGTCAAAAGGAAGTTCCAAGAAGATAAACTAGTGAAAACCAGAGACTACACCAAACTATCCAACCAGCCAAAAGTACCAAAGTTCAAAAATTTTTCAAATGCATCTGGAGCGTCTCACAATTATCAGAGTGATCTGGTCAACTCAGATAACTCTGTTAAATTGGAGTTATCTCAGCTAACTTTGCCTAAGAATAATATTCCATACAAGTTTTGGAACTCTGTGGAGCCTTATTGTGCACCAGTCACATTGGACGACATAAAATTTTTAGAGTCTTTACTGGCACAAAGTAGCAATACCACTTTGCCTCCTATACCACCCCTTGGGAAGCATTATTCAGAAGTGTGGGCTGATGAGCACCTTGCAGAAGATCAAAATGCTTCTAATCCCAATAAAATCAAATCTACTGGTATGTCTCCTGAGGCTTCAAGTTTGAGAAAAAAGTTGGATAAATCAAATGATAATATGATAACAGGACCACTTACACAGAGATTAGTGTCTGCATTAATGGAAGAAAATGTTATGCCCTATGATGTACCCGATGTTAAAGTCAAGGCAATCACTAATACCAAAAGTAGTTATAAGAACTCTCTTACTTTAGAAAAATGTCTTAGGAAAGAGTTGGTTGAACAGGGCATTTTAGATCCAGAAGACTTGCCTCCTCTCACCAATCCAGCTGATGACGAGATCTTAACAGAAATCAAGAAATGTCAAACTGAACTGACTGCTGTCAGAAAGGACAACTGTCGTAACCTCAAGCATCTTATTGGACTCTGTAAGCAAGAAATGATTAGACTGAATTTGAAAAAGCAACTTGATCATGTGGATATGGAATGTATTGAAATTTATAAAAAGATGGTGGCAGCCAAACAAAAGAAAAGACCAATTACTAAGAAAGAAAAGGATGATGCTTGGAGAGCTATCAATGAGCAGATCAGGCTCAATAAAGAGATTAATGCCTTGCCTTTGACAGGGCCAAATAGTAGTTAAATATTTTTAACTACTTAACTATACTAATCCTTTTTAGCTAACTTTTATTTTGTAAGTACTACTGCAAACAGCTCCAAATTAAAACTAGAAGCTTAGTTATTTAAAAGAAAGGGATAAATCAGCCCTAGTAATGCTTTTTGAGCTGATTGTGCCTCATAATTGTTATTAATTGGGTAGTAAATAAAACTATTTAAAATAAAGTTGTAGTTTTTTCTGCTATAAGCATTACACGAGCAAATTTTAATTATATAGCTCCATTTGTTTTCTAATCAAGATTTACATTGTTGGGAATTGTAACCAAATTATATTTAAATTAGTACAAATTGGTTTTCTATATAGTCTGTTAGTTCCCTTCTCTGGTAGAGATGTTCGAGTATCAGTAAATATGAGTAGTATTACAATAATTGTGATTATCAACATCACACTTTGGATAGTTAAAAATCAGTCCATATCTATGTCTGTGTATCAGTCGATGCCGGTTTTTATTGATACACGATTAGCTTCTTTTAGTTACAATATAAAGTTTACATAAATCGTTCAATAGGGAATGATCTGAATTGCTGTTTGCGTTATTTAAAAATTATAGTCGCTCCTTTACACTGCATGAGAAATTTATCCTCTATTCTAGTTTACGCGTATCGGGGTCAGCAATGTTCGCGGTGATGTGTGAGTGATGGTAATATTACTATGCAGGCAAACAAGCACGGAGTGATGCATATAACTGTTATAATGTAACATCATTTCATTTATGTAGTTTTTTTTTGTTCGTAATGGGAGCGATCACATTAGTTCAAATGGACGAGTTCGGTGACGGTCTTTGCTTGGTCTTTTCCTTTGGATGTTGAAATCGCTAGCGATGGGCGAGTCGAGTTAGTTAGTTCGGTTAACTCGAGTTACACCGAGTCAACTCGAGTTACTCCGAGTCAACTCGAGTTACTTATTTATGAACTCGAGCTAACTCGATTTGATACCCGTCCCACCCCGAGCTGTATACTTCATTCATACAGCGCAATGCTCAGCGAGCGATAGGCGAATTGCGTTATTTAACTCGAGTTTCGTCCACAACGAGTTAACCAAACGTCACTTTTGTTAAAAAAAATAAATAAAAAAAATGTGGCTGCCGTACAGGGAGAATACGGTGTCGGCATTTTACAAGTAAATCATTATGACAATATTGCTCGCAATGCACACGTGTGCACAGATCAATTACCTACTATCACAACATAAAAGCTCAAGCATTTGTCTACTCTAAAACGTAATGATTTTTTTCTCTAGGAGCGACTTTATCGTGATCGTGATGCCGTGACGACGGACACTGACAAACGATTACGAAACGAAAACGGAAAGTGTTAATTCAAACGTTTCTAATTATTTTTCTTCTTACTCATTCATAGGGTCGTATTGGAATACGAGTTCTGGAGAACTCTACTCAATGCTCAAGTCAGGACTTGAGAATGTTTTAAAGCATTAGAAATCATACTCGAGTCCTTGCCATTAGGATCGTATTTCCAGAGCTTCAAGTCATACTCTAGTCTTGACTTGAGCATTAAGTAGAGTTCAGGGGCCTTACATGAACTCTTATTACAGTTCAGTATAGGTTCGTAACGAGAACAAAGCGGGATGGTGATATACACTTCATGTAGCGCTATCTCACACACTGTGTCACAACGATTTATATTAGGTCATAAACTGGATCGTAATAAGAGTTCATGGCAAGGCCCCTGGAATACAACCCTTTAGAGAGGCAAAGGGTGGCAAACACTAATAATAGCCATGTCATTTGTGACAAAGGTTTGCCCTTTCAATAAAATCGCTAGGTGACTTGCGCTAGGTGTCCTAGGTAGGAATTATTCGAAACCTCTAAGTTCCAAACGATGCGATACCTACTTGTCAAAAAGTACTAATGTCAGAAAAGTATCGATACTTTTCCATGTCCCTATTTACTACAACTATAGTGTTTGCCATCCTCTGCCTCTCAGTAGATAAATACATTAATTCATAAATAGATCATTTATATTGTAATAGTAAGCAATTGATCTGTGCACACGTGTGCGTTGCGAGCAATTTTATCATAATCACTTATCTGTAAAATTCCGCCGCCTATCAAAAGTGACATTTGGATATAATGTACTGTGAGAAAATAAACAGTAAGGTGCAAAAGCTGTTTTAAAACTTTAAAGTTTTCAGATAATTCTTCAAACATGAAAAAACATCCTAGGATAAAAGGACAAAAGTATCGCTACCGTGAGGAATCTACGCTTTTTTTTCGATACTTATAAGAGTACGATACTTTTTATCAGATAATAATCATGAGTATCGATGCTTTTGTTTCGATAATGTGTCCTTAGCAGTAAAGTCTTCCTCAGTCAGTAAATATTTATTCTATATTTATACCATTTTGTTTATTTACATCTCATAATTCCTCCTTCCTCTTTCACTTTTTCTCCAACTTTCAAATCCCGTTTCCAAATTACATTCCATGATATTATAAAAGCTTTCCCGTTTTAAAAACATGTCAGTCAAAACACTCTGTACGTGGCTAAAAAACTTACCGCGAAAAGCCAAGAGAAATAAGAAAAAAAAATGTGGGTGCTTTTTTTGTGTACGTAGTATTATACATGGACGTAGTATTCAAAGAAATAGTATGGTAAAAAGAGATAGAACTACTCAAAGTTTAGGGTTGTATAACTCTACTCATGAGTCATGATCTGAGTATGATTACAAGCACTGGAAATACGACCCTAATATCAGGGACTTGAGTATTGAGCATTGAGTAGAGTTCTGGAATACGACTCTGAATCATCTATTTCGTTGTAAATTAAAATGCAATACTATAACCGTTTGAAAAAACCTTTTCAAGGCGAGATGTCATGAAAAAAATGGCGGGTTTTAATAGTTATATTTTTTTAGACGAATTAATTTTTAGTTTATGTATATTACGTTGTGCGTTTCTTGATTATTTGTTACCATTATGTTGATGGTTCTGAAGCCAATGCTATATAAATAAATAAAAAGATGTTATGAGGTAGTTTTGGCCCTTTGTAAATGCTTTCATTTTTAATATTGATTAATGCGTTGTAGTGTTTATAACAGGTTTAGTCATAGATTTAGTATATCCTAAATATACTAAATACCTATATACTAAATCTATGGGTTTAGTTAATTTATTTATTTATTTTGTTGCATTTTTAAGCTGATCGCCTCGTAGCAAATGCACAATAAAAAAAAAGATGTCATGCATGAAGTTTAGTTCAAATTTAACGAAAACTGAAAATAAAGCAACGGTTGAGCTGTAGAAAATAATTTTCGTGTTTGAAATAAAGTGAGAAATGGATAACCCACTTACGCCGAAAAAGATTCAGAGGTTGATTCAAATGGCGGAAGATAGGTCTTCCAATGTTGACTGGCGATTATTGTTATCTGAAGAGGATTTAAAAATGTGAGTAAATTTTTCCATTTTTTATTTGAAATATGAAATTAATAAGACTGTAATATGTAGTAACTCAAATTTTAATGAGCCAATGTTATATTGTCACCCAGGTTAAGAGCACAGGCCGCTACAACAACCAACACAAACAGATATGACTCTGTTAAGTACGAATCTTCTTCCGGTATTTTGGACTTAGATCGCGTGGAAGGTAAGGCAGCAAAAAGAACAAACACCGATGTATTACAGGAAATTACGGTCGTGTAATGACTGCTTAACTACCTGTAAACATATTATTCAAAAAATTACATAGGACGTAGGCCATAGACTGAAATAACATCGGGTTTTAGAGATTTTTTTATTGTTAGGTTTCTGGAATGAAAGATAAAATAAATGTAAGCTTAGTTGCTAACCAACCAACACATACCATATGTTGCAGTTAGACTAAAAATGTAGTCTATGCTACTTTGCATAATACATAGAAGTTTCAAGTTGACTTTACGGATTAAATCGCTTCATGAATTATATTTTTTTATGAAAAATACTTTACCTGTTACAATTTGTTGTTACTTTTTAGGTTTTGGTGAATCTGGTAGTATGGCAAATATGTCTCTAAGCAAATCGGTGAGTATTCTACATTAACTTTGAGATGTTTTATATTATAACGTATTACATGATGAAGGAGTATTATTTACTATAATATGCTGCATAGTGTTTAAAAACTGTGTAAATTTACTGAATACTCTTGGGGAAAGTAATACAGTGGTTTTGCGCTGGGTTCCAGGCCACTCTGACATTAACAGTAATTAATCAGCGGATGAACTGGCAAAGGTTGGTGCTAGGGAAACCTTTATTGGATCCGAATCCTTCATAGGGATAGCATACAGCCTGGCAAAACTCACTCTGCTAAATGAGAGCACACACCTCTCCTGAGAAGTGTGGCTACAGAGCAAGGTTCTTGAGCATTCAAAAGCCCTGATATCTGCCTACAGTGCCAAACACTGTAGAGAAGCTCTGTCATTGGACAGGAATTGCATTACAAAGCTCACTAGAGCCTTAACAGGGTATTATGGCTTAACAAGCACATGTCAAATATTGGGCACAGAAACAATAGAGAATGTAGATTCTGCCACAAGGCGGATGTAACTCCTGTTCATCTACTCACCCAATGCTACCCCCTGATGGGCGTACGAAGTTCCATACTGGGAAGACACATAGCACAACCAGAGAACATTAAATCTGTCAGAGCAAGGAAAGTCCTTCAGTTTTTGAATGCTGTCAGCCATGGCTCTGCACTGTCACAGTGATGAGGGGATGCATAGGTCCTGAATGAAGCCACCCTAATAATAATAATATTGCATAGTCCACTCAGAAACAATATTTTAGTCTAAGGATTGAAAATACGGCGCCGTAAATGCGCGTCGCCGGCGCGTATAATACGCCATGTGCATAGGCTCTAAAGTGTACCCTGTGGCCATAATTATAAAATATACAGTGTTTATAATAATATAAAGTGGCCATAAATATAAAATATATAGTGTATAAAGTAATATAAAGTGGCCATAAATAATTGAGTTAATAATATTAGGGGTTAAAGTATGAAATTGCCGTTTTATTGCAATAGGTTTTTTGAATTTTCATAGAATCTTCATGGTTTGAGGTTTTCGAATGAAACTTTTTTCAAATGGTTTGTGATTTTTTATTTTTTTTTAATTTGAAACATTTGAATATCGACTTTCAATTGTTTTTGTTATTCAATTTAGACAAGAAAGATGGATACTGCGAAAATTCGAGTGATTTTTGAATACGAGTTCCGACGCGGAACTAACGCGGCAGAAACAGCCCGCAATATCAATACTGCGTATGGAGAGGGATCTACTAATGAACGCACCGTGCGATTTTGGTTTAAACGCTTTCGTGATGGAAATTTCGACTTAAAGAACGAGCCACGAGGAAGACCGCCCACACAGGTGAATAACGATGAATTAAGAAAGATAGTGGAAGCCGATCCTAGTCAAACTACCCAGGAATTAGCGGCATGGTTTAACGTTACCTTACCCACAATATTGACTCACTTGCGTCAAATCAATAAAATAAAAAAATACGAAAAATGGGTGCCTCGTGATTTGACTGATCTGCAGAAAGAAACGCGTGTTGAAACTTGTGTTGCCTTGTTGAACCGGTACAGAAATGAAGGAATATTGGATCGAATTGTAACATGTGATGAAAAGTGGATTCTTTATGATAACCGGAAAAGAAAAATGCAATGGCTGACCCCAGGTCAAATGCCACAACAGTGTCCTAAAGCAAAACTTACCAATAAAAAGGTAATGGTAACTGTTTGGTGGTCTCAGCATGGTGTTATTCACTATAGTTTTCTCCGATCTGGTCAAGCAATAACGGCAGATGTCTATTGTGCCGAACTCCGAACCATGTTGACAAAACTAGCAGTAAAACAGCCCCGACTCATGAATCGATCTTCACCATTATTGCTCCACGACAATGCGAGACCTCACACAGCACGAGAAACCATTTTGACCCTTCAGGAACTGCAGTTAGAAACCATTCGTCATCCTCCGTATTCACCAGACCTTGCTCCAACGGACTACCATTTTTTTCGTGATTTGGACAATTATCTACGTGACAAGAAGTTTTCTTCCCAGGAGGCAGTACAAAATGCTTTCACACAGTTTGTGCAGTCTAGATCGTCGGAGTTCTATCGCAAAGGCATTAATAACCTTCCCATTAGATGGCAGCAATGTATAGATAATAATGGCAACTATTTTGATTAAATAAATTTGTTAAAAATTTAAAAAATAAACAATTTAGATTTTCAGTACAAATCGGCAATTTCATACTTTAACCCCTATTATAAAGAATGTTTTGTCACTTGCTCGAACTTGCTTCAGCCATACTTTTTGTATATAGACACTAATTACTAGTGTGTAGTGTAGGCACATAATATTTATACTGTAAATAATCTTAATAATTAGTAGTTTAACACTATCAATAAGCAAAATGGTTATGAGAACTAACAAAAATGAGTGTTTTTTGTAAAATTTTTAGACTACCTTTAATCCAGGAGAATTGACTGGTAGATCCACAGGCACAGAGAGTACCAATACAAAATCCAATATGGCATTGGGCGTTCCTAGATTGGAGGAATATGGGCGTCACTCCTTGGGCATTGAATCCTTGACCAGCCAGATGGACAAGCAGACCAATGAGATCAATGATATTATGAGGCACTCTATTGCTAGTAATTATACATTTCACTCTAAAGTAAGTATATCATAATGTAAATGTAAGAAAAACGCAACAGATTTAGTATATACTAAATCTATGAGTAAAATCTATTCAATAGTTATGCTTCCCCAATGGGAGAAGACAGCTTCTCAATTGGGAGGTCAACTCTTACAGTACCTGTGGTGGCCTGTACGTATGTAAAGTTTCTGTACATTTGTTAATGTTTATTGACAAAACCTTGCGTGAATGGCGAAAAAAATTGTGACGATGATAAGTTTCACTAAATTTGTAAAACATATGAAGTACACAACCCACACTCGACCACCGTGGTGGACTATGCCTTAAACCCCTAGACCATAGGCTCCCAAACTTTTTGGCTCACCTCCTACTTAGGTAAGATAAAAGAATTTCAATGCTCACCACCACAAAAAATAATCATTAAAAACACGTATTTTATTTTATACATTAACACAAAAATTACAAGGAAAAAAAGTACATATATGTAGTGTAGTTTATACAGATAATTCAAATTTTTTTTCAAAGTGGTAGTATCCACTGGATCAACGCAATTGCTTTCGAGGCCCTCTTAGGACTGTTAGCGCCCACTGGGTGGCGGTAGGGACCACTTTGGGAAACTATGCCCTACAACAGCGCACATACAACAGCTGCTGGATGTTGCTACCGCTATACATCGCTAGAATTTAATATCATTCTATATTGTAGCGACTCCTTTGCTATTTCTAGGAATAAACATGTGTTTACTTAATCAGTTTAAGAATTCTATACAAATAAAAATTCCAGCCAAACCTAACAGCAGATGAAGCATCATTGATTGTCAGGGAAGCACCAATACCTCTGCAAACAGTACACACTCAATTTCTGGAAAGTTCGTCGTAAGTTGCATGTTACTTAATTCACTTACTTTACCTGTAACTTTATAAATACTTAAGATGTTGTATTGTACATCTCTAAAGATCTCTTTCATCGTCATTTTGTAACGGTTCTCTTGATATTAATTAAATTCTTTATTGATTCCAGAGCTTCTGTTTTTTTGACAAATAATAAAATATAATCACTTAGGATTTGATAGAATTTGATTTGGCTCTAGTTGAAAGTCTGTAATGTATATGTTAACGGCAATGTGTATAATTCAGCGATTCTATAGAATACCTAGTCATTCTATATAATACCGAGCTTCTAGGCAATTTATATAATTTTTAATATTTTTAAAACTATTATACACATTTCCTAAGCATTTATAATACATTTACAATACATTCTATTACAATAGGTATTGTAATAGAATGCCGGCCGTAGATTTGGCAAAATATTTAAAAGACAAAAATCAAAGTAGTCATATTTGTACGCGTTTCTGAGCTGGCTTGAAAATTATTACGGACACCATTTTTTGAGCAAAGGCTAAATATTCAATGCTGTACTTGAAATGGGTGCTTGTTTCCAATAAAGTTGAGTTTAAATTTTCATAGTAAGTCAAATAATTATTTAATTGTCAGATATCAGATAGTCACTTAATATAACAATTTTGCTTCATGCTTTGTTTGATTTGTGTAAGATGCATAAGCGTATCAGTTTTTGTTGCTACTTAATATAGTATTTTGTTCGAAACAAATGGGGATTTTCTTAAACAAATATGATGTGTAATTTAATTACCAATTCTTCTATATAATTAGCTATTTGTTCTTACAAGATGAACTATTGTGATACTTGGCCATGCATAAAATATTCTTCTTAACACACATGCACTTCTTATTATCACATTGCTTTGTGCACCTACATTTAACAAATATATATTTTCTAATGGAAGTTTGGCCTTGTGTAGAATACCTAGTCCAAGTGTATAATAGAGTTTATTCTATACATTGCCTGACTGTTTTAGGCATTGTATAGAATACCGGATTACATACATTGCCGATAACATATACACAAGGAAAACATTATTATGTTCTGTTTTTGCAGAGTTAATAATTCAACTCCTTACAATGTATCTGTGGGCTCCTACTTTAAGAACAGATGTCCTGAATTTGGGAAAATGCTTGCAAAAACTGACAGCCCTAACAAATCCAGTTTTATGATGCCTAGCATTACTGAAGGTAATAACATTATTATTCTCGAAAAAGAGAGCTTTCTATAAAAAAATGTCAGACAGTATCACATACGTTTGTCCGATCCTAAAGTAACTAAAGCACTTGTGTTATGGAAATCGGAAATTATATCGGATAATACGGTACCAAAAACATCAATACCCGAGGCAATATAGAAAAGTTAGTTTTTCTGTATTAATTCGTATGGGAATCGAACTCGTGAAAACCGGTGCGCAAGCCGCTCTACCACACAGGTCGTCATAAATTTCTACACTATTATATTTCAAGTGTACTGTATGCAAAATTGTCGAACTTCTAACACATTATAGTACTGTATATCCACATTATTTTTTTATATTTTAGTGTCCTGCAGCACTCAATATGATCATAAGCAGCCCAATCCACTTACATTTGTAGACAGCACCTTAGACTGCGTGCCAGTAAGGCAACCTCGCGCCTCGAAGAAACAATCAGAATTACCAGTTTTCAAAAAACCTTGTAAACCTATAGATAAACTCGAAATTTCAAGCATAGTACCAGAAAAGTCTCAAACAAAATCAAAAACTGCGGCGTTTCCACAAAAAACCTATTCTTCTGCGTCAAAACCTGCTGACTTGTTGTTGAAGAACTTGCAACAATCTTCCTTGCGTTTATTGAGTGAGGATACTGAAGGTTCAGAGAATAATTCTTTCAGTGTTTCTAAAATCGCTGATTATCTTGGTAAGATTTTATAATAAGTATTCGTATCTTTTTACAAGCTTAAAATAACTACTGTCTCTCAAGTAGAGGGTGTGGTTTTGAATCCGGGCTTGCACCTCTCGAGTTTCCGGAATTTATGTGCGAAATTAAGTTTGAAATTTGCCACGAGCTTTTCGGTGAAGGAAAAAATCGTGAGGTGCCTGGCACCGGCACACATCTGCTAAGCAATTTATTGATGTGTGTGAAGTTCCCAATCCGCATTGGAGCCGCGTGGGAACTTCAGCCAAAGTTGGACCTTGATTCAGAACTCTTCGATATTTTAACCGAACCATTTGATTGGATATCGTTCTCGAATCGGAGGGTGCTTTCCGAGTTATTCATAACGTTCAGAGTTAAACGTTCTATTCGGATTCGGATACGATATCGTTATCCAACAGCGTTTATGGAGTTAGTAGGTGAAATAGATTATAAGAAAAAGGAAAATCCTTTTATATACATTTTTAAGACTAGAGAGGCCTAAAATATAGGAATGCATTAGTCTTGTAACAAAATAAATTAATAAAATTGTATAAAATCCAGATTTATTTAAAATAATAAGAGATTTCCATATTACATTCTTGCTTTGTAAACAATAGGATGTTCGGTAACTTTCATTCGATAACTGTGTTCTGAATTTTTTGTTTATAATATTAAGTGACGGGACGAACAAGTCGTGCGCCTGATGGTAAGCTACACGCCTGTCCATAACAGTTGCAGTGCCACTCAGAGTTTCAAATCGCAAAGATCTGAGGGGCACTGTCACTGCGCCCGTCACCCTGAGATATAAGTTGACAAGTCCCATGTGCCTGTAATTTCACCAGCACCCTTACCCTTCAAAACCGGAACACAGTAATGCTAATATTATTGCTTGGCAGAAATAGGTAAGGTGGCAGTACTTCCCTGGACGAACTCTTTCACAAGAAGCTCCACTGCTTACAAAATAAATAAAGTTTTTAGCCTTTGTCGGTCGAGAAGTTTGAGAAATTGTACGGGTGTGACGTCGTTTTGGGTTCGGTTTCGAATACAACAGTTTGACGTTCGATTTGGGTGTTGTGAATAAAAATGTAAAGAATCTGTCGTCAACTGAATTATCCATAAGGTTCTGAATCGACCCCCTGTCCCGATGTGAGAGAAGGCCTGTGCCTAGCAGTGTAGACTATAATATATTCAAACTATATATACTCATATTTTTTAGACATACACACCCATATTTTTTAAACATACAAATACAAAAACGTTTCATAATACTAAGATTTATGGTCATATTGAGCTCTGATTTTCTGGAGCTCTTGAAGTACTATTGTGCGTGTTACTAATATAACTTTCAATTCATTTTAAAGATAGACAATCCAACGTAAGCGTGACGGAAATGATGCATTTCAAGAAGCCTAAAACAAAAAAGCAACCATTATCAGAACTACAAATGAATGCACCTAGGATCGACGAAGAAGTTACTAATTTAATTGATACTAAAAAGGCCGAAACTGCCAGTTCTGCGGGAACTATTAACACTGTTGTACCATTTGAGAACTTGAACATAAAGGACATTCCCGAAGTGGTAGTGACTCGAGAAACTTTCCAAGTTCAGAATACGGATACTGGAAATCGTGTTACGAGATCGAAATCGCCATCAACGAAAAGTCAATCAACTTTGAGTACAGTACGCGATAATTATTCAAGTTTCAAGTCGGGTGATAGCCCTAATTCCAGTAAAGGGTTGGGTAAGTTTTAATTTTATACATAACAATTGGTATCAGGCATAATATAGCATTTTTAACTTTATATTTAATTTTGCTGACATTTTGGTTTTATTAGTTTATAAAAGTTGGGAAAGGCATTTACTGCGAAATAGATTCGATGATCCGTTATTTATTGAAACACAAAATCAGTTTCCGTTGTGATTTTTTTGACATAACTTTCAAATTTTCAGACGAGGCTAATAGTCCAAAAGTGTCTTCCCCAAATATTCAGTACAAAGAGTTAGATAAGTCAGTAGATTGGCAAGAGGTGTTACTGCAGAAGCAAATGAGACGCGTGGCTAAAGGTTTGTGGGTCTCGCTTCTCAAGCTTTTTAACGGAACTAACCAAATATCACTGTGATAACTTATATGAAGTCTTATAACTTTACTAAATTTGGTATCTATTTTATACGGCATAAATATTAAAAGGCCAAAAGAGATAATAATTGTCAGTAAGTTTCAGTACTAGCCTATTGCTTTATATATCGATTACCATTATGGATGTACCATTTTCTTCCTATTTGACAAACGATAAAAAAATTGGATCAAATAATTTTGGTTCTCCCTTACATAAACATGCGCCAAAGTTGACAACACGTTTAATTCAAAGTAAAATAATTGTAAAGTATCACAGAAAAAACATGAGATTATACTGAGAATGCATTTACTTTTTAATCGGCTTAAAAAAAACGGTTACGCGATTCCTCTAACATTTGCTAACTTTTTTGTTATTTTTTTTTTATAATATTAAGCGACGGGACGAACCGGTCGTGCGCCTGATGATAAGCTACACGCCTATCCATAGCAGTTGCAGTGCCACACAGAGCTTGAAATCGCAAAGATCTTAGGGGCATTACCACTGCGTTCGTCACCCTGAGACATAAGTTGACAAGTCCCATTTAGCTAGAAAGGGTCCTCATTAGTGGTCCCTAAGGATAGAAAATTTGGCGATGAATCCGGTTTATTGGATTTCACCCACTTTTTGTTAACCGATTTCAATAAGCCTTAGCAAATATATCTAATTCCTTAAACTTTTCAGGTTGGGCTTTTTATAAAAAAAGTTAAAATGATTGACCTAATAAGGAATAAGACCTTCCTTCGCTATAGGTGAACACTTCCGTCGACGAGTAGTCATACTTTTGCTACTGAACTACTGAGGCTAGAAGCGTTTAGGCATTTCGTAATTTGATATTCATTCAAAAATAGAGTCGAAGTAACTTTTTACTATTAGGAATTATTATTTTTTTCTAGTCATGGTTTTTCAAAATCTATTTAAAATTTCCTCTTAAGCATGCCGCCAAATATAGAGCACAAAAAAAAGTGAAATTATACTTTAGAATATCAATAAACTAAAGAACTAAGCCAAAAACAAAATTAGCAGTCTATTGTCACACAAAGTCAAATCTTTTTATAATATGAAATTTACTTCAGGTTAAATTTGTTCAGTGTCTAGAGACATTCATGTTCCGAAATATAACAACATGTTTTTGTTACACCGGTATATTTTCCTTTTTAGGTGTACCTGTCTTAACATGGTTAATGTAAGTTTTATATATTTTGGCGTTATTAATTTTACTTTTTTATTTCAGAACAATGGGCAAACATAGCGGCACCGCCTGTAGAAGGATTTGTCGGTAAGAATAAGATTATAAAATTATCTTCTTACAATCTTTTCAATGAATTTCATAAGGAAATCATATCATATATTGATCTCTAAAGTATGATATTACGCTACTACGCACCAGTCGATCACTGAATTTAGAATAATGTAGATGAAGCTGAAGTTTAAAGTTGAAGGAAAGCACTACTGAAAGTTTATAGTTCGCACTCTGTTTTGTTGGTGAAAAATTGTAGTTTTCGCAAAAATATTATTTTATTGACTTCCGATTCCGCCAACAGAATTGATTGCAGAACATAAGCTTTAGGTGAGGTGGGGTGTGGGGGGTTGCCACTCGCGTCTCGCAATCGGCGAGCTGTAAATAAATATGAATAAATTAAAAACAGGTGGAGCAAATTTGACGCAGATCCGACGTCGATAAGCGCCCGATGGCGACTGACGGGGCAGCGGGCGGTGCGGCATTTTGTTAAACCGCTGGGCAATTTGCAAATTTTGGGATAACTGTGAATTTAATACTGATAGGGCTTCAGTTGAAAACCAAAATTTAGCAGATTCTCTGTAATACTTCAAGAGAAATATCTCCTTGTAAAAATTATGCACATGGTTAGATATTTTATTCTTAAATAATTCGTTTTAGCTTTTTATTTTAGCCTGTTTTCAGGATTTTATATGATCGAATAGAGTACATCCCATTGTGTAATACAGTACATTCTGTAGAGAATATCCTTAGGTGTAATGATATTATACTTGTAAACAGTAGCGCATCTATTGTAATCTGCGCCCCCAAACGGTACCCACGGCACTGTTGCCTACTGGCAACAGCCAATGGTGACCGCACCATCTTGAATTCGAGTGAGTACAACGTCACCGTACGTGACAAAGTATCAAAAACGGTGAAATATGTAAATAAAATTTGCAATTCTCGGTTCGAAAATGATCAAATAACTACTGAGGTTACTTTCCACAGGTAAGTCTGCTTTTGTTTGTTTAGATTGTCGTAAATAAACAACAATGTTGCCAGTAAATCAATTTTCATTTGCCCATAATATTGGGAGTTAAGCCTTTTGAAGTTACTTTTGACTTCGTAGTCAAAAGTGATTCTAATTCAAGTTTATTCGTTGTAACGTTTTAACGTAAAGTGTAACCGTAATACTTGTAATACGTAATACTATTAAAATTAATTAAAAATTAAAATTAATTAAAAATTAAAATTAATT